GACTTTTAGTTTTAAAAAAAACAATTATTGTATTTCTAGCCCACCCGAATAAACCAACCTACTAACCCACCAAAATAATTCACTTATCTATTGAGTTCAAAGACTACTAACATCACTCTAATAAAATATTACATATTGTTGATTCACCATTTCCACTAAGATACTAACCCACAAAATACCACTATACACCAAACTTCAATCAAATAAATTAGCCATGGTCATGTCCCTCCTCTGAACACTGGAACCAGAAAGAGGCTACTTTCATGAAGACGAATTAATTTCTTCTTATATTTTCAAACCCCCTTATTAGATATTTATTTCATTTGTTTTATTGTCTTTATCTATTTTAGTTGAGTTATTTAGGATTTTAATAGTAATTGCAAAGATCATTTGGTTGCAATTCTTGTTTTGTTTATTGTGTATGAAGTAGTAATTGTGTTGTGTTTTTTTTAATCTCATATCCTCTAGTGTGGTTGTTGTATATCATAATTAGATATAAATAAAGGATGTGTAAGCATTTCATTTTACTAGTAACTATGTCATATGAAAAATCTATTTATTTGTATTGTAGAATTTTTAGAAATTCACATAGAGCACCAACCTTCAGCCAAGAAAGGAAAAACCCCATTGATATAATCGTCCTTTAGAAAACAAAATTGAAGCCGAACTAGTGAAAGTACATCAAATACATTGCAAAATGAGCTTAACGGTTTTTTTTTTGTTTGTTTGTAGATTTTGTAGAAGCTCGTCGAGCACAACTTCAGTGAATATTTCAAGAAAAAGGATTATGTGATTTCTATGAAAATAAATTTTAAAATTCTAGCTCAATCTACTCTTAATTTCTGAATCCGTCCCTGATTAAATCCACGCATCCAACTAAAAAACTCATAGATTTTAATCATTATATAATTGGTTCAACAGAACAAAGCAAAACTTCCATACCTTGATCACTTACATAAGAATAAATATATACGTGTCAAATTATTGTGCTTCATATATAAGTTTAGATAAAAAAAAGTGGAAACATAATCAGTTTGGAATCAACCATAAATAATTATTTCTTCTTATATTATTGCATTCTATAAATATATCTTTCATTACCATAAATTTATTGTCTCCCATAAATTTATGTATTATAGAAGTATATCCTAAGAAAATTATGTAAATTTGGTATTCTGTAGTTTTAAATGAGTTTTTAACTAATTCGTACATGTATTACTTTTTCCATATTTTATATTATTCTTTAATAGCATAAATTTAATTCATAAAATAGAGTATATATCTATATTGAGTAAAATAGTTTTAAATGAGTTTTAATCTATTAGTATTAATTCAAAAAAATATAATTATTTAAACTGATTGAACTGCAAAGTAGTTATATATAATATAAGATGGTAAGTTGTGTAAGTGACGGTATCAATTTAAATATAAATAATAATATATTTTTCAAAAATGTATTTAAAAACTAAAATAATTTTACTAAAATAATTTTTGTTATTATTATTTAATTTTACATAAAATCTATATATATATAATAAGAATTACTATTTACCAAAAATAGTAAGCAAAAAATCTGGCAACATTAATTGCATACCATTTCGGGCAAGTTTTATTTTTATTTTTTATTTATTAAATGAGAAATATTTAAATATGTCTTTAATCACGGATACTTAGTTTTGGTAACCAAATTGCTCAATTTGGTACAAATAATGCTTTTAAAAATTTGAGTTTTATTTCAATACCAATCCTTTTTAAAATTAATTGATATCAACATTCATTAATCTATATATATTGAAAGAGGTTGATGGAAAATTCATTTGTGGACAGTTTAATTAATTTTTTGGTCAAATTTGTTGACTTACCACTTAAGGAAAATATGTCCATATTTTTGTAAATCGATTACTAAAGCCTTTTTAATTATTTTTGATAGATTTGTTTTGTTTAATATGTACTCAACTACATTTTATATTTTACATGTGAGATATTTAGAGCTATTTTATAAAGGTACCTGCTCTATTTAATCAAATATCCATTAACACTTTTTTTTCTCAACCCAACTTCAGAACTCCATTTTAATTATATTGAAAATATTTTTGTATTTTATTTTAGTTAATATGGAATCAAATGCATTCCATCTTTTAATATTTAGATCAATTTTAAAAAGATATCATCATATTTTACATATTGGATCTATAGATTAATTTTAAAAAGATTCGTATTCCAAATCTACAAATATCCATGGGTTTTTTTTTCAAACCCATTTGAAAATGGTGTATTAACTATTTTGAAAATATTTTTGCAATTTACTTTGATTACTATGGAATTAAATACATTCCATATTTTACGAATTTTGTAGCTATTTAAAAAAGATCCGTGCTCTAATTTTACAAAGAACTGTCCACTTTTTTTTTGTTAAAGTTTTAAAAAAATATAATTGTACAATATTGATATCTTTAAAATTGTTTGTAAACAAACCTTATTAACATATAGATTAATTTGAGCCGATTACAATATCAAGATAAATTGTCTTGAATTTCGTGATAATAACTCAATTAAAGAAATTAAAATTTGATGAAAAAATAATGTACATATTAATTTAAAATTCATACGGTCTTATTAATAGGTACCAATATTTTTTAGAAAGCACATCTTGGTTCAAAATTAAAAAATGTATAAGATGTACTTGCATTTTTTCTTTAACATTTTTTGGAAACAAACATTATCAACAACCTATGATCAATATCTTATTAACATAAATATCTAGAAATTTGGAAGAATAAATCGTATTACATAAATAAACTTTTAATGCAAAAATAATGGCCAAACTTTCAAATTCGACAATAAAAGTAAATAACAATATATTTAAAATATCGTACTGTTCTTACCAGTTCAACCGAACACCAAAACTGACTGGCGTTGACCGGTTTGCAAGAAAGCATTTTATTTAAATTAATCAGACTGATCGATAAACCGATTGCCGGTCTATTCGGTCAGACTGTTCAGTCCGGTCCTGTTTTGAAAACAATAGGTGAATTATAATGAATGTTATTTATATATTTAACTTATGACACAATCGTAATATTGTTTCCTCGTGCATCACACGGGCCACGTACTAGTTTTCTTAACAAGTGCTCGTGTAGTAAATGGATAGTATTGTACTAGTCATATTAAGATATTTTGATCTTTAATTTCTTCAAACAATGTAAATGAGATTATCCGATAAAGGTCAAAGCAATTTGCCAAATTAAATCTATTCATCATCCAACTAAAAACTCATAGATTATAATCACAAATAATTAATTTGGTTCAACCATACATAACACAGCGAAAGTTTCCAACCTTGATCACTCCAAAGAATAAATATATTACCAAGCACCAAGCCATTAATATAAACCAAAATAATAACAACATTAATAATTTAGTAAACCAAGTGGAAAACTTCAGAGGTTGGTGATGGACCTGATGGTGGTGCTGCTCCTTGAAACCAAGTCGTGGCAACATGTTTCACTTCTTTTTTCCTACACCAGATACACGCGCAAATATATACACACACGCAAAAATACCGCATATAATCTCATATTCAATCTGCTGTGACAAATACATCAATTTACAGTTGAAAAAGTCGATTAGTTAATGGATTTGAGCTCATCATCCGAAAGCGATCATCAATTTCGAACTAACCGGAATTGGAACGAAAGCAGATTCAAACGGCCGTTTCAAATAGTCGCAACTAACCTCCTCAGCCTCCTCCTCCCCCTTTCCTTCCTCCTCCTCGGCCGCCTCTCCACCGCCCGCTACCTCCTCTCCGCCTCCGACACTCATCACCTCTCCTCCCCTAATTCCTTTTTGCGCTCGTTTTTCCTATCGCACGCCAAAAACCCCACAATCCTCCACCTACTCGTCTCTGCCGTAATCGTATCTGCCCTTGCCCACGCCCTAACCGATAAAATTGAACCCGGCGGCGGCCGGAATTCGGAGCCTAGACGGCCGCTCCGTTTGTGGGCCGCCTGGATTTTCCTCTGCGCCGCGCAGATCTGCGTGGGGATGGGGATCGAGGGTAGCATAGCCGCGGGGGTCGACGGGTCGAGGTTCGGGCGGGGGAACGGGGCAATTTGCAGGGCGGTTTTCTTCGTGGGGATGCACGAGACGGCGGTGTGGTGGTGGAGGGCGGCAGTGAA